GTTGTCGCCCTGTTGATGACGTCAGCGACGCGGTTTAATCGGGCGCGGCTTAGTCGAGCGCGGTTTTGACGGGTCACGCTCTCCTACATCTTAAAACTGCTTACCTGTTCCGAGGTCCGAGAGTTTGGCAAAGTCTCCACCTGTGTTGGGATTTCTGCATCCTGTTGGGGGGGAACGATGGAAATGGAAGGTCGGCTTCAGGTATTTTACTTCTTCTGCCCTTCCCACCAACATGACTTTGACCAATAGACTTCTCCAACTGATGCCCACTGGAGAATTCAAGTCACACTGATCGACCCAGAGCAAAGCAGCAGCTCTGCCACGCGCACCCCTCGTTTAAAATCCTAATTCCCCCATCTCAAATTAAAGTCGAATATTTCCCCTCGTACCTGCTTGTAGGCCAAATGCTGAGTGTGGGTGAAGCGAGAGCCCTTGGCTAATGCACCAGCCTGCTCGTGGCCAGCACCGAACGTCTCCAGTAGCTGCAGCAGCTCTCGGTTGGTTGTTCCTTGTTGAGATGGGCCAGCACGAGAAGCTTGTCGTAGCTGGTCCAGGAGTCGATGGTGCAGTCGTTGATGCTTCCATTGGCGGTATTCCTGAGAAAGGGGCAATATGGGGTGAGGGGGGGGGCAGGTGTGTGTGTCAAGTTAAAAGAATTAAGAGTGGGAAGTTATGAGCAACATCCCTGGAAATAGCAACCACCCACACTCTGTTTGCTGCAAGTTAATTTTATTCCTTTATTGCAGTAGCGGAGTAGCTACGTCCTTCAAATATCGCTGAACTGAAACACCCGGCGGTCTTTGCCAGCGCAGTCAATTAAGAGGTTCCACCACAAAACCGCGAACGACAAAATCGCGGTCGACGAAAGCGCGTATGTGACGTCATCACAGCGTGACGAAAAAGAACGAAAAATGTAAAAATAAAGCGAAAACCTTACCCTAACCCCCCCAAACCTAACCCTTAACCTAACCCTAAACCTAACCCTTAACGTAACGCTAACGTTCTAAACCTAACCCTAACCCTTAACCTAACCCTTACCTTTACCCTTAACGTAACGCTAACGTTCTAAACCTAACCCTAACCCTTAACCTAACCCT